TCCCTACTCCACCAGACCCAGGAAGCTGCTTCCTCACAGGGCACTTGCTACCCACCAGCAGAGACGAGCACAACAGCAGTGAAGAGGCCCAGCTCCTCATCGGTGAGCTCCAGGGCGCTGAGCTTCTCGCTGAACTCAAACATGGAGTTGAGCAGGTCACCCATGCCCATGCCCCACAGCTCCTCCAGGCTGTACTTTGTCCGGCTCATGAAGGTCACCGTTTGCTCCTTCACGTTGAACAGCGAGGCAAAACGCACCATCAGCACCTGGCACCAGGAACATGACAGTTGTGATGCTCTGGGGCAGCCTCTGGGCCCACCTGCACCCCTGCCTCTCTGCAGCCAAGGGGTTCCTTGCCAGAAGAGGCAGCCAGCCCAAGAGGGTCCCCTCAGCCTTGCAGGGTGTGGAGTGGCAGATCCACAAACCAGCCCTCTTGAAAGGGTGAGTGACAGCTGCTGCTGGACCCACACATCTGGTGAGCCTGGGTAGAAAGTGGGGACCCGACTAAGTGACTGCTCTGAACAGAAAAAGCAAGTCCTGGCCACAGCTGCTGGCCAGGTGAGCAGGAGGGGGAGCCACGAGGGCCTCTGCTAGGGGACCAGTGGGGCTGCTCTGTCCTCCAAAAGGGCTAGATCCCATGGGTCTCTATAAAGAGGGGCTTGTGCAGGGGAAGGGAGGCTGTGCCTATCCCCCACTCTCCATCAGTGCCCAGAATATCTACTCTAAAGGAGGCTCTAAGACCAGTGCCTTCACTATGAACTCCTCCCACGGCTGCCCCACTAATGACCCCAGGGGCCACAAAATCAAAGGCAGTTCTTGCAGCCTCTGCCAGGGAAGCCTACCTCGAAGGTGCCAGCTTTGAGGAGGGCAACCTGGTCATGCTGTGACAAGTCCTGGAAGCCCGGGATGTGCTTGGCAAACTCCACCACCTCCCGGACAGCAGGCGTGAAGCTGAGGGAGAAATCTTCCCAGATCTCCTGCACTGTGCGGCCACTCTGGCCAGGTGGGTGCATGTTCATGGGGCAAGCCTGCAGTAAGAAGGGAAAGACCAGGACAGGAGTGTCAGTTAGAAGTCAAAGTGCAATAAGATGAGTCACCCACTACAGCCAGTGCCAGGGGAGGGTGGTGGCTGCCTTGTCCCCCACAGCTGGGGCTCTTAAACTGATCCTGGCAAAAGACTGCTGGCTGGGTAGGATGGCATTCAGCATGGGCAAGGTTGGGCTTTGCACAGAGAAATCAGAATGTCACCCAGCCCCTCAGGACATGATGGGGTGGGGGCCAGAAGACCCATCTCTATCCCTGCCTTCATGGCCCCTTGGGTTATCCAAACCCAGGAGAAATGTGACCCCAATCAGATCTGACCTACAACTTCCTGTGGTGACCAGCCTGCTCACTTTCACTTCCTGGCTGCTGGTTTTACTCCAGGCCACTGGCTGGGAACCAACTAGGCTTGGGAACCTTTGGGGACCATCAGGGAAATCTCACCATCAGATCTTTCAGTTTCCAACACTGTTAAAAGGCACCTGTTCTTGGCTGAACCCCTACTCCCCCGCCTGCCAGCCCCCACCTTGTGGAGATCAGCACTGCAGAGCCACAGACAGGACAGTCCGTGCCTGCCTGGCGTCAGAGACAAGGCGATTACTGGGGATTAGAGAGGCTAAATATACCCCTGGGGTCAGCGGCTCAGGGGCACTTGTCCCAGATGGGCTCCCCACTGTGGGGCACTGGGACTCACCGGCAGGATGTCCTTGGTGCCCCTCTGCCACCGGCTGCCCTGGCCGGCCAGCGTCTCAGCCTCCTGGGCAGAGGAGGAGTAGGCGGAGGGGCAGAGGCGATGCCCATTCATGTTGTTCTGGTGGCAGGCACCGGGGGTGCTGGCGTGCCAGGTGGAGAAACGAGGGGTGTCAGGGTGGGGTAGGTTGTTGTTGTCATGGCGATAGAGACCACTGGCGTGGTACCCATTGGAACAACGGTCGTTCTCCCGGTTGAGAGCGTCATTGTCCCGGGCAGGGGCCGGAGCCGTGCCCAGCTTGTCATGAGCGTAGACGAAGATTTCCTTGTGTGCCTTGGCCACCTGCGAGATGATGTCCTCCATGGCGTCCCCGGGGCTGGGGGAGCGTGGGGGCGTCAGCTGCTGTGGGAACTGGGAGAAGCAAGGCTGCGGCAGCAGCTGCTGCTGGGGGGAGGCGGGGAGCTGCGACTGGGGCTGATGGCAGGGCAGGGGGTTGGTGGGCTGGGGGTGCCCTGCAGGGGAGCCATCGGGCAGGCACTGCCCACTCAGTTGGTTGTTGGCCATGTTGTTCATGGCACTCTGCATCTCTGCCAGCATCCGCTGCTTCTCACGCTTGGGGATGCGCCCAAAGCGCACAGCTGCAGAGAGAAAATGGCAGACATTAGCATCAGGCATGAGGCAGAGCACAGATGGGGAGCCCCAATGCTCCCCCCAACACAAGCAGGCACCCCCATCCTGCAGAAGCTCTATCAGCAAACCAGAAGCCTCCCTATGAGTCCTTTGATTTCCTCTTCCCTGAACTAACTTGCTGCCATCAAGGCACGGCCCAGCCTACAGGTCAGATCACAGGGCAGGGAGCCATGACCTCTAAGCCCAGCTCTAAAACCAATTCCCCATAGTGGCCACTCAGCCATTCCTTACCCCTGCCTGGCAGAAGGGAGGGAACTATAGAGACACCTCCTCCCTTCCACCCTGGGTCCTTTGGCAGCACCCAGCTCTAAGGGCCCAGACCCTGACTGCCACCTCCAGACACTACCATATTCCTACTAATAAATGGGGTGGGAAAAACTTGGCACCCCGGGCAGGTTCTCCCCTTCACCTGCCCCCCCTCCCTCCACATGCCAGACTGGGCCTCACCATCACGGGACATGCCAACCAGGAGACACTTCTTGAAGCGGCACTGCTGACACCGGTTCCGGTTGATCCGGACAATGGAGCAGTTCTCATTCTTCAGGCACTTCTTGTACTGGATGTTCTGCTGGATGCTGCGGCGGAAGAAACCCTGGAATAGAGAGCACAAGGCAGAGGAAGGGTGAGTTGCGGGGGCCAATGCTGGGATCTCTAGCAGTGACGGAGGCCACATGTGGGAACAGGCTGGGAGACACAGCTCCAACCCCACACTGGAGCCCTAGGCTTGTAGTGTCTCATGCCCCCAAAGCTGCCCCCCAGATCCATCTCAGGGTGGCCACCCAACTTTACCCTTGGGAACCCCTCAATCCACCTCTCGCAGCCCACCAGGAACAAACTTATGACAAACAAGCTATGCAAGGAAGCAGGTGGCCTACAGTTCTCCATCAGTAACAGGTTCTAGCCATGTCCTCATCCTCCCCTTGACTCAGGAAAAATAACCAGCTGGAGCTGAACATCTTTCAGGTCTGGCCCCTGCCTCAACAGTGAAGATCCCCAGAACAGTGCAGCTGTTTGCAAGCAACACAGGAGCCCCTAGGGGGGAGAATCCTCCCTCCACTGTTGTAATATGAGGCCCAAATCATTCTGGCATAAAGCAGCCACTTGATCCTGGCAGTTAAACTTGGCTTGCTTTTGCGATCCTTGCCCAAGATGGTGGGAGGGATGAACCAACACGACAGGAAATTTTGAAGAGAAAGATTTTCATCATGATGTCACAGGTTAGTTTCCCAAACAGGCCAGCTGGAGGGCCTTTGGGTGCATCCCTGCTACTCCTCCAGTGCGCCTGCAGGGGGTGCTCTCACACTCGCTGGCAGGGGATCATGCCTAAACAAGATGCTAAGGAGAGGATCCTGATTCCCCTGTCCATATGAAGCTGAGTTGAACCACAGAAGTGCCCCTCTTTGCCCCCAACTGCACTCAGAGCTTTGCAGGTCCCACCTGCACCATCTCTCCCTCTCTGCCCTGCCCTGTCCTTTACCTTGCAGCCCTCACAGGCATGAACCCCATAGTGGAACCCGGAAGCAACATCTCCGCACACTTTGCAAAGCAGGACCATCCCGTTCAGCTCTGCCAAGGGAGAGAGACACCCAGGTTAGATCCCATCTCTGTGCACCAGCCCCTGGGAAGGGTGGTAAACCAACCTGTGGGTTGGGGGGGTAGAGTGTCTTCCCTGAAAGTGCCCACAGGGGGTGCCTGGCTCTCTGTGCCCCTACCCCACCTTGTAGGAAGGAGGAAGTTGTGGGCTTTAGGCTCCCCCACAGGCAGCTCCATACTGGGCAGGCCACAGGTGCCATGGAGCAAAAGCAGAAACCTGGCTGATCTGATGGAAAGTAGCTGAGTTCTGGCCCTGGGTAAAGAACACCAAAGCATCCCAGTGCCCACCCCAAGAAGACCCCTCTGTACTTCCAGTCCTGCACTCACTTGTGATGCTGCTGGTGGTCTTGCTAGGAGAGATGCGCCTCCCATCATCCATGGCAACCTGCAGGCCCCCAGGGGAGGTCCCAGAAGAGCCATACGAGGAAGAGGAGGACGAGGAGGATGAGGAAGGGGAACCATCCTCCCGGGAGCCCAGCACTCCCCCGCCATATGGCCTCGTGTCCTGGATCAGGGAGCCAGTTGGTGAGGGTGGGAAGTAGGAAGGGAAAGCCTGCGAGCCACACTGGAAGCTGCCATTGGAGCTGTCACTGCATAGGGAGACAGGGCTGGTGCGACTGGGAGAGGAGCCACTGGAGCCCACATAGCTGATCACACCACCTGTGAAAGAATCAGAGAGGCTCTGGGTTAGAGACCAGGGAACAGTGCCCCATCACAGTACAGAGCCCTCCAACCCCCACAGCCACAGAGCACGAAAGGAAGACCAGATGGTTTGGGATGAGTGGGGAATGGGACACAAGGTGCTGCCCCATAGGGGACACTGGCTCTAGTAAGGCCAAGCAGCAGTGGGCAGGTGGGCTGGGCAGGTATAGGAAGCACCCAGGGAGCCCTCCCCTCTACTGGGTCCCAAGGTGGGGGCACTGGCTGGTTCGGGGGAGGGTCAGGGCATGGGCATGCAGGGCTCTTCCCCTCTAGGGAGCGCCAACTCCTGTCTAACACAGCCATAGCTGTTGGTGGGAAGGGGTTTGGTTGTTTGGTGAGCCACCTATAGCATAAGTTGGGGGTCTCAATCGAGCCCCACAAGACAGGTAATTGCATCCCAATACCCCTCCTTGGACACATGGGTGGGCCCCCCTGGTTCACTGGATGCAAGGAGTGAAAGGCTTGACCCTTGTCCTGCCTCTCAAGCCCCCCCCCCCATACATACATGAACATGCAAGTAGTAAGCCTATGCACGCACCCCGTCCATTCCTCTGTGAATACATGCACACACCCCAGCATATATGCATGTTAATCCCATGCATGCACACAGACATGCCCTACACAATCTTGCCCCCACCCCACCCCCCGTTCACTGGATGCAAGGAGTGAAAGGCTCCCAGCCATTAGACCCAAGAGGGGCTCCCAGTGGGCAGTGCTCAGGCTCCCTGGCACATTGGGAGCCATCTCCACTGCCCCCCTCCACCCTGGATCTCAGCTCCTCAGGGCTGTGCTCCCACCAGGAGTACAATCCCTCAGGGCAGCAATTCGCCCATCCCAGCCCTTGCCAGATCTCAGCACCAGGCACAGACACAAGTGAATTGAACCTCACAACCCCTGCCAGGTTGGCATCACCCCTCCACCCTCCCAGAGAGAGGAGGGCTCAGCCCCATGAGGGCACCTATAGCAGAGAGCTGTGGATAAACCCAGTGGCCATGCCCCCTCTCCCTCACTGCCCTGCTTGGCACTCAGGTGGCTGGGAGTGAACCCTGTGGCCCCAGAGCTGGGTGAGCTGAGAGGTAACTTAACTGGGGGAGGAGGGGGAGGAACACCAGCTCTATCCATTAGGTCTGAGCTCCGCTGCTCAGATAAGGGGCATGACAGGACTCGAGGGACCCCATTCTACTGAAGCTCCTTCCTAGGCTGTGGCTCACCAGCCAGTCAAGAGTTAAAATCCAACCTTGGTGACATTCCCCCCCCAGCCCAAGGCTGGCACTCCGTGTGCTGGTCCTTGGTGCAAGGAACAACTCCCCCGAGGTTCAGCCTGAAACATCCTTGGGCTACATCCCCCCCCTCCCCACCCCCCTCTGCACTGCAGTGCAGTGGCAGCTGCTGCTGCGGAGCACCACACAGGTACAGCAAACCCAGCGTTAGTATTCCAGCCGCGCCAAGGACAGGCAGGACACGGTGGAGGGTGGGGGTGGTATGGGGAAGGCATCTCCTCTCCTTTTCTCTCACCCCTGCCACAGGCAGTCACACCGTGAGGGGTACAGTCATAATGAACTTCTACAACCAGTGAGATTAGACAGCAGTACACAGAGGGCTGAGGAATGGGTGTGGGGGCAAGGGGGTCAGGGCGCATGGGGGGCACACACACATATAGGGACATGTGCTCTGTGTGTGCACAGAAGGGTGCACGTGTCTCATGAGCTGGTGCAAGCATGTGCATGCAAAGGGGGTGAGCAGATGTGCATACACGTGCCTGCGTGCAGTGGGGGCTAAGCATGTGCAGGGCATGTCTGTATGCATGCATGGGATTAGCACGCATATGCACCAGGGGGATGTACATGTGTTCATAGAGGAATGGAGAGGTACATGCATAGGCTTACTGCATGCATGTGCATGTATGTATGGGGGGGCATGAGAGACAGGACAAGTGTGCTGTGTGTGCAAGCTGTGACTGTGAGCCCTCCGACTATCCATGTTCCCCAACACCATATTCCTACACAGATGGCAAAGATCTGTAGAGCTCCCACAGTCCCTTCAAGGCAACGGGGTTTGCAAGCCCCAATGGGGATGTGCAGTCTCATGCATTTGCAATAGCTCTAACTCCCCTCTCTTTCCCCCTTGGGGTTTGAAAGGCAGACATCCCACAGTCCCAGTGCCCCCGGGGGTAGCTGGCCCTGGAGAGCATCCCACAGCCCCAGCTGCTCCTGCCTCTGAGGGACAGGGCTCACCAAGGATCTGAAGGCCAATACACAGGGTGGGAGCCAGGAGCCCCATCCTGGAAACCCGGTGCTTAACCAAAGCACCTTTGTTTATCCAAGGGATGGGAGCGGCTGTCATGCTCAGAAGCACTGCAGGGGGAAGGTAGACTCCTAGGGGTATCTGGGGTCACTCAGGCCACTGCAAAGGGAAAACAAGAACCAGAAGGCAGTTGGGACTTCCACTGCCTTGCGCATGCCAAGCAGCAAGGGCGGTGGAGAGCCAAGAGCCTAAAGCACAAACACCAGCGGCATCCCAAAGTGGATGACAAAACGCGGGGGCAAGCACGTGTGTGGGCTCTGCTGACACAGGGGCCAGTTGCTACTCATTGCTTCAACACGCCTAGGGCTTGGCACACCCTGGATCACAGCCGCTGGTGACCCAGAAACATGGCTAGGCCCTGTGACTGGGTCAGTGACCGATGCTGGCGACTCAACCATGCTAGGTCACCAGCCGCCTGCACGTGCCGCGGCAGAGCCAGGAACGATAATACAGGGAGGTCACTAAGGAACTGCTTACGGGGACTGGTTACAGCCGCGCTCGGGAAATGCCTCCCTCCCTCACTGCTGTTGCACGTTGGGGAGAGGAATCCATGCAGATTCAGTGTAGCATCAGGGCCAGATCCAAAGCTGGGCTGGTGTAAATCAGTGTGAAAGCTGCACTGATTCACCAGTCAAGGACCCAGCCCAGCTCTAGGGAGCAAAGCCAGCTCTGGCAGTGGGCTTACAAGAAAACACAGCCCCCGTCCCAACAATGTAAATGGAGGGGGTGCCCCTACACCCTTCAGCTTGGACAGGTCAGAGAAGTTTTTTTGGAAGCAGCTCAAGGGGGAAATCAAGCAGCTGCTCTGATTGATTCAGTGAGAACAGCAATGCAGCACTGAACAGGGAATGCAGGAGAATGACAAGAAGCCAGCTCTTAACTGGGCTGAAAGTCATTGGCACAGGGCTAGGGGCTGGCAGGGGGTTGGGTTAGTGGAAGGAAATAGCAAGAGAAAACAAAGTATTGTTTTTTAAATGCAGAGTTTTCGGGAAGGGCTGAATGAGTCAGAGGGCAGGGCAGGGCGGGTGTGGGGCTCCAGGAAGGGAATCCCAGCAAAGCCAGAGGCTCTAGCAAATATGTAAGGAAATAGGATGCAAACTCAGCTCCTCCAGCCTCCATTCCTTCCCACACGCCCTCAGCGCAGGCTGCTCTCAACTGCAGCGTCAGCTTTGGTGCATTTGTTTCCTTGTCTTTAAATAGCCCAGGCTGGGAAGCAGATCTCAGCAAATGGGTCACAGGAACTGTGCCCCTCCAGCCCACTCCCCTTCAGCCTGGGGGGAGGGAGGAGCTGTGGAGAAGGCTGGTCCCCAGGGGGTGCCTCTGAGGCACAAGGGCCTGTACAAGGACATGAACAGGGATCCTCAAAATCTCTGCACCCAGCCAGCAGACAAGGAGCAGACACGACTGCCCACAACACCCATCTCCCCGAGATGAGTCAGAAGCATCTGGACACGTGGCCAGAACTGCTATAGCACACGAGCTCTGAGCCAGGCCATGTGTCACTCAGCCCACAGGACATGTCTAGCAGATGCCCCGACAGAAGCCAGCCTGCAACAAGGCAACACGGGGGCGGGGGAGCCTGCTTGGTCACTCCACTACGGTGTCCCATGACAGTCAGGGTGGACAGGGGTTATTAAGCCACTGGGGCATCCACTTGGGGGCACAACTTCCATCCATCTGTATCACAGGGAGACACTGCCGCCTTGGACCAGTTCCAGGGAGCACATGATACTGGAACACCATGCAGGGTCCTGGGCTGAGCTCTGCCCCTGTGACCTTGGGCAAAACACAGAGGGCCGCAGACTTGCGTGGACGCCTCAGGGCCAAGCTCTCATTGAGGGTAAAGGAAGATGGGTGCCTAAACCCCTTGGCCACCCAGCCCCTGGGAGCCTGAAGCCCTTGGTCACCAAGCCTCTGGGACTCTAAACCCCTTGGCTACCCAGCCCTGCTCCAAGGCTTAAACCCCTCAACTGTCCCTTCCTCTCCAGGTGCCTAAACCTCTTGACCTTCCAGCCCCCTTTGTACCTAACCCCCCTGGCCACCTCCAGGTGCCTAAATCCATTGAGCACCCAGCTGCTAGTCCTGGGGATGAGGCCAGTTACTGCCCGAAGCAAAGGGTCTGGGGGCACAGGGAAGCACCTTACAGGCCCCTGGCTCTGAAACACGCACCCCATGGGG